CGGGTTCTGCCGCCTGTCAGTCCCGCGCGCTCAGGACGTCTCCCAACCGCCCCCGACTCGCCTACTCCCCGAGCGCGCACTGGTCTGCAGGAGCTCCGACCGTGACGTCATCCTTCCTGCAGGGCGCGTTGCGCCGCAGGGGTAGGCGACTATGACGCGAAAAGCCCGGTGACGTCACGGAGGCCCGGGGCCGCCCCTTGGACCCACTGCCCCGCTGTTGCCGTGAACACACGATGACATTGCCGGAGTTGATCATCTCCCAAATAACTTTCTTCTCACTCCATTCAAGAGTAATAAATGTCACGTGGCCTGTGGGGAGGGGGACATAAACCCCTGCCTTTAGGGAGATTCTGTTGTAGTTGGAGAGAGAGACGGAGTCCTAGATGAAGAGTCAGCTGAGGGTTCGAGACTAAGTGCTAAATGCTTGGTTTGGGCAGGAAGAGTGACAGGCGCTGGGAGGAGGGAGGGGAAGGGCTGGGGATGGCGGGAAGAGTCGGGGGCTGAGAGAGGGCTGCCGTCAGCCGCCCATCCTCATCAGTGTCCCTCTGCCCACCGCATTTCCCACGCAGCTCAAGGCCCTCTCCGCTGCAGATGGTGCGCCGGGGGAGGGCGGGGGTGGGGCCCCGCTCCTCCATCCTTGTCGTCACCCTCCCACCTAGCGTGCAGGACCTGGCGCGTGGAGAGCAGGGTGGGGGTTGTTGTGGCGAGCGCCTGCTCCTCTCCCAGCTCGCCCTTTCCTCCTTCACCCGCCCCTCAGAACTGGAAGGCAAGGCCAGCTGGAAGGGATCTGCGAAGCAGGCCGTCTGGCTTCTCACCCGGCGGAGGCCACCCCTTTCTTCTCCCTCGGCTGGTTTTGTGTGCCTCCCTGCTTGATGGTGTGGACAAAGCTCAGGACCTGGAGCCAGATGGCCAGCCGCTGCTGGCTGGCTTGCTCTGTGCTCCTGGGTGAGCTGTAAGCCTCAATTTTCTTATTTGTAGAGTAGGGTCATAACAATTATTGTTTTACAGGGGTCTTGGGAAGGCACGACAATCGGAGAGGAGCTGTGTGGATTGTCCAGTACTGGGCACTGTCCCCAGGCAGCCCACCGACCCTCAGGGGTGGGCCCTCTCCACCACAGCTCTTCTTGCTACAACACACAAGGCCCACCCTCATGAAATGTGCCTTTTGTTACCCTCTAGAGACAGGATTTCACTCTGTTGCTCAGATTGGAGGTGCAGTGGCATGATCACAGATCCTACTACAGCCTTGATCTCTTGGGTTTAAGCCGTCCTCCTGCCCCAGACTCCTGAGTAGCTGGGGCTGCAGGTGTGCACCACCATGCCCGGCTAAATTTTTAATTTTTAATTTTTATTTCTTTGTAGAAACAGGGGTCTTGCTATATTGTCCAGGCTGGTCTTGAACTCCTGGCCTCACTGATCCTCCTGCCTTGGCCTCCCAAAGTTCTGTGGTTGCGGGCATGAGCCACCATGCCTGGTGAAATGTGCCTGTAGAGCTGCCTTAGAATTGGACTGAGGAACTTCAGCAACACAGGATGTGTTTCTTTGACTCCTCTCACCTGCTGATACCACAGGCTCCCTGGAGGCAGGGCCCCGTGTTAGGCTGTGGGATATCCCTACAAGGCCCATGAATTTTGAGGCACTTCCTGAACGCAGCTGGGCCAAGCCCTATCCTGGACCTGTCACCTCCCAAATAACTGCAGGCACAGGACCCCAGGACTGCAGAGCAACTTATCAACATATTTGCTCTGTGTGTGTGTGTGTGTGTGTGTGTGTGTCTTGTGCATGCCCGCACATGTGTGAATCCCTCAGTTTTCCCACCTGTGAAGTGGGGGCAGGTTGGTCCCAGACTCCTGTCTGCCTCGCAGGGATGATTTGAGAGAGTGAGATCATGTCTGGGCAGGGCTCTGGGAGCTTCAGAGGCAGCCTAAGATAAACAACAGAAAGCCTCACTGCCCAGAGAGCAGAGACCGCAGCAAACCGTGGCTCCATGCCTCCCATTATCCCGGGGCGGGGGGAAAGCCCTCCCCAAAAGCCCCTTGTAAACTGGGAAGGGAGTGCTGAGACAACAGAGAGGCAGGCGTTCCCAAGGCCTTCGGAGAGAACAGCAGCCAGACAGAGGCTGGAGAGGCGCCGAGACAAGGGAGGCAGCTGAGGGAGGATGGGAGGCTGGATAGGAACCACCAGGGTCCCCATCAAGTCAACTGTGTGTCCTCCAGTCCCAGAGAGGGGAGAACCCTGGCCAGTGTGGTGGGCCACACAGCATGGTGAATGGGAGTAGCCTAATGCTCCCAGCACCCACGGGAGCCAAGCTGGAGCCAGCCATTTCAGGGCATGTGTGTGCATGTGCCGGGGGTGAGCGGGGGGAAGCACATGAGCAGGAAGGCCTGGATAGGTGGCCATGGGGATGGGGACAGGGACAGGGGCAGGCAGGGCAAGGTTGTATCAGGGCATCTGTGATGCTAGAGTCATGGACAGAGCAACAAGACCTGTGTCTTGACAAGGTAGGAAGGTGAGGAGGGCAGGAACCCAAGCTACAGTGGGAGAGGGAGGGCTGGCCACAGGCTAGCTCTCTGAGGGACCCTGGGGATGCCACATCTACCCTCCGGGCCATCTGTCAAATGCAGGCATGGTTGGATCCTGGAACAGAAAAAGGGCATTCGTGAAAAAACTGGTGAAATCCCGGTGAGGCCTGTTGCTTCGTTAGTAGTGTGGTATCAATATTAATTTCGTAGTTTTGATCAAGGCACCATGGTTATGTAAGATGTTCACAATAGGGGAGGCTGGGTGAAGGATAATTGGGAACTTCCTGTGCTATCTTTGTGACTCAGCTGTAAATCTAAAATTATTTCAAAATAAAAAGCCTGAGCATGTATATTCAGGGCAACTTGAATCTATGCTCCTGGGTAAAAAGGGAAAAAAAAAAGTCTAAGAATTTTATCAGAGAAAAAGGAAAGAAGGCATTGGATATGCAACCATGCGCTCACTTCCAGCTTGGCTGGTTGTATGTCTGGGATTTCTGAGCGACAGAGGGGCTGCAGCAGAGCATGGCTGGTAGACCCTGTGAGCAGCAGAGGCCCAAGGGTCTCTGTGAGGAACAGTGCCAC